AACCCACCAAAAAATGTTTAAGCTGAGTATACAATCAAGAGAGACACACACAGCATTTCAACAACTGGAACTAATGACCAATTGGTTGAGAACCCAAATATGCAACACCTTCTTTATTTGCACAGCTGGAAAAGACTTTGTTAACCATGATTTCTGAAGGAGAATCAGCCAGCACCTACTTGCGATGTTAAAACACCGAACATTAGAGAAGGTCATTGCAGCTTTACACAGTATCTTGGCTAGCTGGTGCTTCGTTTCTGTTTTCCCAGTTCACTTGTTTATACAATGGTGCAAATACAGCTCATTGGATTTCACAAGCCATTTTGCAGTGGTCGGGCTTATTCTGATATATGTAAAAAGGCATGCTGCTTTGCCTCATTAGGCTGGTTCCCTCAAGATACAACCTATTTGTGCATAAAATGATACAGAGCAATGGGTGTCAGGCCACTCTGCTTTGCTATAAAAGGCAGAGAACACGTGTAAGGGTATGAGGTCCCCCAAATATTCATTTCCAGGGGACAGTGTCTGAGCTTCCCTGGCTAAGAATGGTTTCCCTGGCTATCAGACTTCCAAGAAAAACACTTTGTATGGATAGCCAGTCCTTCCCCCTGACCTAGGGCTGATGGGAGGGCCCTAACCATTCCTTTTCATTCCAGGGTCACTCGGTGGTCAAGCCTGCTCACTCAGTCAACAGACTTCACCTTGGCCTCTTCCCAGGTCTGCTCCAGTCCCTGAATGCTGACTTTTCATTTCACTCAAGAACTTGGCTGAGTCAGGGTGAAAATATGTAAGGGGGTGGAGCTGTGGACCTCATGTCATTTGAGATGAAGCACGTTACGCTGTTTGCATACTATAACAATCTGGGACTATAAACTGTGATTTAATTAATGACCATAGATGAATACTTGCTCACCGATCTTACGTGAATAAAAACCCCATAACTGACGCAACATGAAGCCAATGTTTACAGGAGCACAGATGACTAGAACCTAACATTTTGATCGCAACTGCTACTTTGAAGAGAGAGTCAACCAGTGACATTCTATTTCCAGATCGCTTTAGGAAAAAAGCAGATTCAGAAAGGCAGAACTATTCAGAAGCAATGACTTTGATAGAAAAGGAAATATTTGGATTTGGGGAAAAAAGGAAAGGCTCATTGTGGAATGCAACAGCCTATCCATCGAGGCAGCTACTATTACCTTCAAGGATTTTCTGAGTCACTGTACTCAGATAATCTTGAAGGCTATGTCCTATTGACAGACCCTGAGTTGACTAAATGTCTTCAAAAGGATGCTTCAAAGATTTTTATAAGCAATGACTAAAACTGAATTATGGTACAATATTAGTTGATGAAGACAAGACTTCAGTTGGAATAATTCTCATCAGCTGGACACAGACAGTGGTTAAAAACAATAACCCATGACTAAATGCATGCTAGCTGCTAGGCAGAATTGGAATCTGGTATGGCAGCAAGAACAAAAAAAGTTTAATTAGAAAATGGAAAGGAACTTCTTCAAGACCACAGAATAAAGGAAAAAATGGGGAAAGCATAGCTCAGTCAAGGTTTTCAAATGACAATAAATTTCCAAAAGAAGGGCTTCTTCACACCGAGAAAATCTGGGATTTACTTAGTCTCCCTTTCCTGTGCTTCCCCCTGACATGAAGCTGGACACAGTACTCCGCAACAGGCAGAACCACTGATACCGCGTCACAAGATAAGCCAGCCAATAGACTAAATCACTGCCCAATGTGTCTTTTCAGAGCTTCAAGGAAATGTTAAAAAAAAACTATGCTACTCTTCATTTTTTAGATGAGAAAATTGAGACTTGCTCTAAAGGTGCTCCAAATAAAAGCAGAAAATTAAAGACAAAACAAGCAAAGGGTAAGATGGGCATGGGTTTATTTGCCTGGCTCTGCATCTGCTCTCTGAAAACTTTCCACCTGCCCTCCCAATGGTGTAGGCCCTTCTAGTAGATGGTTACCTCTGTCCACGTTCATCAGAGTTGGGCTGGGCTGGGTAAAATAGCTGCTGAGGATGAGGAAGGAAACTTGAAATAATTTAAATCTGTTGATCAATATCACATGGAAGAGACATCAGTCCTCTGTTGCAATCTCATGCCTGGCCTACAACACGTGTTGTGAGATGGATGGGCGTACACAGTGGAGGGTTACTATATCAAAGTAGGGAAGATGTATTCACAGGGAAGCAGAATGTCAGGAACATTTAGAGAAAGATCAAGAAAGAAGAGAAAAGCGGAGGGCTCATCTCTGTTCCTTCATGTAACTGAGCATGCATCCTACTCAGTGTTCTGAGTCACTCCCCTCTCTTTCCAAAACACTCCTTTTTTTAATTGCAGGGAGTAACTTTTGGTTGCCTGTAACTAAAATAACATTTTCTTATGTCACCAAAACTAAAGCTAAGACCTGCATACCCTTCATCTCTCTTTCTTTCACTAAGGGCTAAACACTACAACATCTATAAAGCATGGGTTAGGAAACCAATACCACAGCAGACTACCTAAATCCATCAATATCTACCACTATGCATAAGACATACCTTCCTTGATTAGACTTGACAGTCAATTTATTCCTTTTTTAAGCGTAAAAGGAACACTTTCTCTGAATAAGCCATAAAGTGAAGCTCTATCAGAGGACCCAAGATGAAGTCAGTCAAAGACTGCTCTCCTGAGCTGTTGTATTATAAGAAAGATGATACAGCACCAAGGAAGAACTGGGCCACTTATGTGCTAGGTGTTGAGCTACTGGGTTTACTTGTATAGACTTATTTCATGCCCACCACATAGGTACTGTGAAAATTCTGATACCACCCATCTTTGGTGGGTGACATAAATCAGATGCATTCAGGTGGATTTGATCACGGGCACACTATTTGTAGAAGATGGATTTCAAAAACAAGAATCTGGGGCCATCCAGATAGCTCAGTGGATTAAAGTGCCTGCTTAGGCAGATGTAGCGACTGGGGTTAGATCCCCAGCATGCTGTGGGAGCTCTAAGACAGACTGAGACTGGGCATGGTGGTGTGCACCTATAAATCCCAGTGCTTGGGAGGCTGAAAAAAGGATCACTATGAGTCCAAGCTATGTAGTGAGATCCTGTTGACCCTGTACTGAATACATTAAAAATATCCAAGAGTCTAGAATTAACTGTCTATTAGCCTTCTTTGTCACTGTGGTTGTGTAGAGCATGAAAAAAGGCCCTTATCAGACAGGGAGACCCTGTTACTGTGCACATTCTGTCCCCAAAGTATTGTTTCTGATACACAGGGCATCAGTAATCAATTAATTTCCGAACATAAAAAAATCTGACAGTGATTGTTAAATACGTGTGCCCAGCATTAAACTAGGTACCTCCTCTGTACCATCGTGGTGCTTCAGAATCAGAAGAACCAGATAAAAAGCTTCAGCCAGACATGAGGGGAATACATTGAATAGATCAATTATGGTTTAGATCTAGAATGTCCCCTAGAGAGCCTCATTTGTTCATGGGCATGGGTTTGGGGTGGTGAAGGGATCAGAGAGGTCACATAGCCAACTTGCTGTTAGGTGGTGGGCATAGGTAGGATGGGATGTGGGAGGGTCTGGCTTCCTCCTGGATCTTCCCTTCTCTCTCTGATTCTTGGCTTCCATCTTCTGAGTGCCAGACCCTCCCTCTGCCTAGAAGCCAGGGCCAAAACATGGGCCCAAACAAACCTCTCTTCCTTTGACTTGTGGATGCTGGGTGTCATGTCTCAAAAGTGGGAAAGCAAGGAAGACAAGACCTACTGTTGAATATAGTCAAGATCTTATGATTGGGGCTGGGGATACAGCTTAGTGGCTGCCTGGCAAGCCCCTGCCTGGAAAGTGCATGGTCCTGAGTTCAATCTAATGACCACAGTTAGGAGCAATTACAGTTAATAGCAATACATTGTATGCTGGAAAACTGCTGACAATACACATTAAGTGTTCTCACCATGAACGTGTGATCGGTAGGTGAAATACAGCACTTATTAATCACCTTCACTGCATCAACTTGCCATGCATACATACTTAAGAACATTGTGTACTCCATAAATATATACAGCCTTTATTTGTGGATTCAAAAATCATCAAAGGAAGAATTACTGTTACTATCTTCCATATTAAAATATGAGGTGTATTAAAGTTAACTAACTTAATTAGTCACATAGGCAAAGTTCTGCCATAGGTCTGTATGAAGCTAGGAATTTCAGTTCATGCTCTGTAAATGTCCCCACCAGAGTAATTCTCCTCAGCTAACTCAGTTTCAAAGAAACTGTACAGGGCCTTAGCCACTCTGCATAACAACGTTCTTACAAGTTATAAACATATTTTGGGGGAAGGTGTTATATTTCTGCTATTGATCTCTCAGGAACACCAAGGTCTTAGCTTGAAATTCACAACCTTCTTATACATTCTTACTCAAAGACATGGGGTAGAATAGTGGTCATTAGAACATGGAAAGGGGAAACGGCATTCAGAAAGGTCGGATAATACAGTTGGATGTGAAGATTATGTTCTAGTTCTCTATAGTATAATTGGGTGAATATACTTAACAGTAATTCATTATAAATTTCAAGCTAGGGCTGGTGGTACAAGCCTATACACCCAGCACTTGGGAGGTTGAGGAAAGAAGATTGTCATGACTTCAAGGCAAGCCTGGGATACATAGTGAGTTCAAGACCAGCCTAGACTACACAATAGGAGCCTGTCTCAAAAACCAAACAACAGCACCACCAACAAGAAATTTCAAAATTGCCTCTCACAAAGAAATGATAAATGTTTGAAATTATGGATATGCTATCATTGTGTATTGTGTATAATATGTCAAAATAGCATACTTTGCCTACGAATATGTGCAATTATTGTTTGTCGATTCTTTAAAACATTGAAGCCTGCCCTCAGAAATTTCTTTCTTACATCTGTTCCTAATTCTGCACATGCATGGGGAAGTGACTCAGAGCAAAGCACATATGGGAGACCCACCTTTGTTGGCACAGGCCATCCACTTGAGATTGTCTGCAAAAGCAGCCTCTCGTCCGATAAGGTAGGTGAAGATGCGAACCTGAAAGAAGACAAACACACGGGTGAGTGGCATTCGCTTCTTGCCATCTTGCACAAATCACGTGCATGCCTCACACACATGTGGTTCACCTCTTTAATGCTCCATGCTTCCCATCTGCAGGAACATATTTAAGACATTTGAAGTATAGTCAGCTAGAAATATATTCAGAATGAGGTCTTTGATCTTGGAAGCCATATGGAGCTGGTGGTAGTTGTTTTTCGGTGTGCAGCTCACGACAGAGGCGGATGACTTGATGTGGGAACAGCACGGCCTTGGGTTTGCTCCACAGATGGACAAGGATCATCCAGGTCTGGATCAAATCCCCAGACATTTCCCTCTTCCCCACAGGAAACTCAGAATGTGCTCTTGTAGGAATAAAAAGGCCACTGCAAGAACCTCAGCATTTCCACTCAATGGGATACACAGACTGCAGGCGCTTTCTTACCATCTGCAGTGTCTGGCATGATTTTTGAAGGTAATTAGCTAAGACAAGAGGTACAGACCATCGCCAGGAGACTGATGGGGACTTGCTCTAGTCCTCTTAAGCTTTTGGCTCCAAATGAGTTGGGAACACATTTAAAACCCTGGGAGAGCATTTTATATGTTTTCTCCACTCTTTCATGAAGGTAGAGCTGTGTGAGAGAAAGCACTACCCAACCTACCCAACCAAGTAGTACCTGATGGATGACTCAATAAAGGAAAAGTAAAAAACTAAAAGTATAAGAATCTTTTCGTTGAACCTATAGTGACATGTGGTGAATACCACACCAGCTGCGCAATAGTTTCCAGTAGGCTAAGTGTGGCTGTTCAGTGGCCTCTTTGTGAAGAAGCTGAATGAGAGTGTGGCAGGAGACGAAGGACACTCAGAGGGCAGCTCCAAAGGCCTTGCTGTCTGATGGGCCTTCAGCTCAGACAGCCTGCAGGCTCAGCATAGCCGTTGCTGCTTCAGGGCTGGTCATAACCAGTGCCTTGCAGAGTTAGCCAGAGAGGGTGATCTCCTTGGGGAACGAAGGGGCTGCGCCTCCTTGACCCCACTGTATCCTCATGAAACTAAGACTTGGAACCTTACAACACAACACAACACAATGAAGATATATGAATGTGTATAGCTGATGATAAAATTGAATATTTTGATTAATTACGAAGATCCTCTATTCCAAGCATGAGGACATGAAGGCCAGCTTTCAGCAAGGGTTTACTTCTAACTAAATAGATGTTTAAACAGACACTATCATGATGAAACCTCAGTCTGGCTTCACCTGTGACTGGTAAAGAAGTCACTTCATTCATCCAGCTCCCACAAAGGGGCTTCCTGGGTAGACAGACAAGCCACGTCTTCACTCTATAAGCTCTTTTGCTATCACTCCCTTTAGAGTCACATTGGGGAACAAGGATATGATTTTTTTTAAATAGGAGATTCTGGCCTTTCTTGGAAGAAACAACAAGCAAAGATCCAGCCTTATGTGGACAAACATGGTTGTCTCTGCCCCAATGTAGCAGTTTCTCTTAATAGCTCTATCTGCTCTGTATTTAGCTGAGTATCTTCAATTTAAGCAAAACAGAGACTAACTTAAATAAAGTGTTTTATTTAGTTTCATCAAGGTCTGATCTTATGTGAGAAGCCTTCTGAGACTTAGAATAGCAGTGAGAGCTCCCTTCAGTCTCCTAGAGATATTGGCTCTGCCTACATAGATGATGCCAACCAGTTCCAAGCCCCACAGCTACCACCCACAGGAGCCAGGACTGAAGTCCAGTCTCTAGAAATCAGACCCATGGTTTTTTTCACAAATCCTTGTCTTTAATTTCATATTTAAACTCTTTCAATGGAAAACGGTACGCTCATAAAAACATATGTCTCCCCACTGGCTGTTGGCCAAGCAAGCAAAGAGAACAGATAGCTATTAGGAATGAAGCAGCGAGGCTATCTCTGGAGACAGAATGGCCTATTTGGTTAGGAGTACAGCTAGCTAAACATGCCAGCCTGCGATGCTGTCCAGATGAAGCAGCTCACTAGAAACTGAGTTCTCTCCTGGAGACACTGTTAAAAAAAAAAAAAAAAAACAACAGCAAAAAAAAAAAAAAATGGAGACACAAAAAAAAAAAAAAAAAAACCCAAACAATGCCTTGTATCACTGGCCAAGCTTCCACTATTCCTGATTTGAAAGATGGCAACTTCCTTGGAAAAACAGTAGGACTGTACCAAATTTTAGATCAGACATGATTGCTCAAGAATAACTGTTCTAACAATAACCACAATAATGCAAACCAGCACTATGACCCCTGGCCTCGTAACTATGTTGGTTCTCTAATCAGTATCGTCCCATGGGTAAGGTACTATATGAATGGATTAACAGGCATTATATTTATTTGTTGATTTCTATTATTTTATTTTATTGCTTATGAAAGACAATCAAAATTATTTCCATTTATGTGCAGGCTCTGGCTCCCAGTCGACTGATCTCCTCTTCTGAGAAAAAAGCCTTCTTAGGATTGACTTATTGTATCTCTGCCTATAAAATAAACATAATCCAACAATTCTGAGTTTATGCCCTCCTTTCTTCACAGTGATGCCTCTCAAGTGATCACAAAGGGATTTTATTTCAAAGTATAAGAATCTTTGGAGAACAACTGAATAATTTCTGTAGTATTTTATTCTTTGTGATTATTTTTTGACCCAGTTATTCTATCTCTGGGCCCCTGCAACTAAGATTACAAATATAATCCCCATGGAGAAAAACAGGTACCAGAGAAGACATGAAGGAGTAGGGACGTGGAAAAATGTACACATGTTTGGGAAGCCCTGTGATTCCTATTTGGATACTTACAAATACACAATGATGAAAGTACAGTGATGATATTCCCTTTGATTACTTGTCATGGCCAAAAGTTAAGGCATGATTCTCGATAGGGAATTAGCTAAAAAAAGTATCATATATTTATGTGTGACACCATGCCGCCATATACTCATCCGTTCTGAATTGGTAAGAGGAGAAAAGCAAGCTGAAGCATACTCAGTAGCATAGAGTCCTATATTTTTTTCTTATAACAAGGAGCTCACACTTTTGACTTCATAAACTTTCATATCGTTTGACTAATTTTACAAAAAGCTAGCAGTACATTAATAATTAAAGCCTTTCTTAAATGAAATGAAAATAATGACACTGTGATTTCCTAAATAATTCCAAAGGATATAGGCAGACTAAATACAGGAGGGCAAAATCAAACATAAAAATCAGATTACTTGTAGAAACCCTTCCACACTTCTAGGAATGCAAAGCCTGTATGACTCACAGAGTCCAACTGCTCCTCGTCTACTTCATTAACCGATGCTAGAGGCCGATGGATCTCATTTCCAACAGCAGGAGTTTCTTCCCTATGAACTGCCACCAAAGCAACTTTCACTGGTTTGCCTTGAATTCGAGTGCTTTTCTTATGTGGCTGCTCCCACTAGCAAGGCTACCTTAAGGACAAAAGGGACATCCATGAAGGGGAGGAGCCAATAACTGACTGACTGACATGAAAATCACCAGTGAAAGGAGAGCAACTCATTATCTGATGTGGCAAAGAAACCTGTGAAGAGCCAGGTCCAGGGGAGTCCTGACTGTCATATGTGCAGAACAGACAGTCGTGGGATATGGCACAGCACGATGCAGGCCTGAAACATCAGCAGAGACACCAAGCACCCAGAGAGTCAGGCCTTCGCATGCCCCATCCTCAGCTACAGAAGATGCCCCTGGCACTAATGCAGCTCAGAGGCAGGGGGAAGAAACAGTCTGCATCCACCTATTAGTTCATTTTGATCTCGCACTTAAGTTTGCAAAGATTTTCAGCGCTCTACAAATCCAATTAAGCTTAATAAAAGTCCAATGTAGACTTGCAAAGTTCAAAGTCATTTGCTTTAATCTACTTAGGCTAAAATTTCCCAAAAGAAACAAACAAAAACTCAATTCAGTTTTGCCCTCAAGCAGATTATGCTTCTTACTAAACTAGCTGCAGTCCTCATGTAAAAACCTATAGGAGCACGCTTCCTTTGAACTGTTAGTGAGGAGAAGAGAGAATAACTGTGTAAGCTAATGAATCCAGTTCTATCCTTTTTTGGTAGCTATTACTGTAGGAGAGAGAAGTGGCTGTGAATAGAATTATAATGGGACAACTTCATAGCCACAAAGAGGCTGTTCCAACCAGCAAGGCTGCCTTAAGGACAAAAGGGACATCCATGAAGGAGAGGAGTTAATAATGATTGACTGATAATGAAAATCACCAATGAAAGAAGAGGAACTTATTTTCTGTCACCTCCAACTTCCAAGTGCCCACTGCACACCAGGCATCATTCCATGAGGACGAGTTAAACTGTCCTCAGAGAGCTGACATTTTCTTGGAAGTGAATCAGGAATAAATGACAAATTCATAGGTAACATTTATTTATTGGATGAAAGGCATATGAAGAAGACAAAGCAGCGTAAGGTGGTGAATGATGCGTCTTCTCCCCTAGAATAAGAGGAAGAAAAGTTACCTAAGAAAGTGACTTTTGACCAGATGTGTGGAATATGTAGGGGTGGAGAATGGGACAAACCATATGGTTTATGAGAAAAGAATGGTCCAGGTAAAGGAAGCAAGGTCAGTGAAATAAGGGTGAGTAAAGTGACAATGAAGAACACAGAAAGGATGGAGTAAGGCCGTAGAAGTGACTGCTGGGGGTGAACTCAGAGAGACGATGAGTACCAGATCTCATGGACTCCGCAGGCTACTGTTAGAGCATGGGGTGTTTTCCATCAAGAGGTATAGAAGACACACCAAAGCCAGGCTTGGGCTGACACATAACATAAGAGGTTTGTTCTTGTGGCAGTCTGGACATGCTCTGTGGGCCTCTGATCACCTGGCTGCCCACTGATGTCCTTAAATTTCTGAGTGTCCCATTCAAGAATAACTAAACCAGAAGCTCTGCAGGCAGGACCCAATTCTTAATCTCCCCAGAGAGGTTCTCATGCGTAGCCAAGTTT